TAACAAAAGGCTGTTCGTAGAAATTGTGAAAGTTTTACTATGTAGAACGCATTTAAAAAATAGAAATCACACAATATTAAAAAAAAAGAGAAAAACAACTTCATACAAAGAGTTAATTACAATTCCTAATAAAAAGTAGTGGTTTATGTGAATGGGCTTATTGAATAAAAGCAAAGGAAATTAATATGCAAAACAATTGGAATTAAAACTTTTTCATAGCCGGCAAATGTGCATTAGGGTTGCGGTCAAGTGAGAAAAATACTTAAAAGTCGAATTGAAGAAACAAAAACCAAATAAATTAATTAGAATAAAACCAATTTGTGATTGCTTACTTATAAAATGTTGAATAGCCGCGAATATGCATAGAAGAGAAAATCTATAAAAATTACTCACAAATGTATGTATGTTTGTATTTTCCTACAACTCTGTGTAAAATTAAAATAAAACCAAAATAAATATACTGCAAATTAAAGTGAGAAATATAATGTCGTGTAATTAATTTAAACAAGTATCCCATTTACACATACATATATGAAGGTATGTACATTAGGGTGCCTCGGACAAAATCGTTGTTTTTCAAACGGAAATATAAAATTTGTTATATTTTAAGACTTTCGCCACAATATTTCGGAAAAATATTAAGATTTATGTGACCGATTTAAAAGTGCATACCTCTGAAAAATTAAGTTTTTATGAATAAAATTCGGTTTTTAAAATATTTATCACTTCAGACGATGGAGGAGCTTAAGCTTAAAAGGTCTGCAGAAAAAGGTTTGAACATTTTATCAACGGAATCAAAATAATGATAATTTTCGAAGCATTTCCAAAACGGTTCTGCTCACGTAATTCTTAACATTTTTTTCCAAAATATTGTGACGAAAGCCTTAAAATATAATAAATTATATTATTCCGATGGAAAACCAGTACCGATCTTTTTTTTTTTGTATGGAGTGTTGCATCCTAATGTACATAAGTAGTTCCCACACCCAATCTCATTAGTAAACAAACAAAAGAAAAACAAGGTAGTAGAAACAAGCGTAGTTAACAATACTTAATAGCGAACACAAAAAAATAACATTAAATTTATGATAAAAAAAAAATTAATAAAAATATGTAAAAATACTTATACACATATTTAAATGAAGTAATAAATTGAAATTAAGAACAATGTGAGCAAAAGCACAAATACTCAATAATATTAGGCTATATACATACATACATACTTACGTATCATACATACAATACTCGTAGGTGTACTCAAAAGTGATGAAAATTTTCAATAATAAATACAAAACCAAATGTCTATTAAATAGTTGTAATATGTATTAAATTATTCGTATGCTATAATGAACAAATATAAAATTTTTATTAACAGACTTAAATGCATACAAAAATTAATAATGCATACCAAGCTTTACTTGTGTGAAAAAAAAGAATTAGTATTAGATCAAAATTACATATTCGTGAAAGCAAATAGAAATTTCAAATACAAGCATATTAGGGCCATTATATCGGGCATTGAACAAATATTCATTGGACGCTTACTTTCTTTTAAACTAAACTTTGCAATATGAGACCAAAATGTATGTATGTAGAGTGGAGACGTGTAAAAAGCTCGTTCAACCAAATAAATAGCCGCTTTAAATTGAAATGGCATCCACCACTTCAGATAGAGATTCCGCACTAAAAAAAAATGGCAAACAATTTTACAAACTCATATAATAAATGTTCATACTTAAATACTAAATACATACATAAATTCTCATACATACATACATATATACTTGTATACAACGCAAAATATTCATTGATATGCATACATATTTATAAACCGAAAAAGTATAACATAAAAAAGAAAAGGCATTTTTAATTGTAAAATTATATGCATACATATATACACACACATTCACTAGCATTGTACTATACGAAAATGTAATTAAAAATATACATACATACCAACAACCAAAAAAAAAAAACAAATTCATAAAAAAAAATAATTGAAGAAGCAAAAATTTGGCAAACAAAGAGCAGCACAATTGTGTTACTAATTACTGTGTAAATAAAAATGTAAATTATTTCGAAAAAAACAACAACAACAAAATAAAATAAAACTAGATACATAAATACTATTTAGATTACTTGGAAATGCGGAAATGCAATTTTTTGCTTAAAAGCAACCAAAATATAATACGGAGTAGCAAGTTTTTTTCAAAATTGACCAACAAAAACAACAAAAAATGAAAATATGAATCAATGTGTAAGTAAACAGGAATTCTATGTATTTATATGTATTTACTACTAATTACCTACTTACTAAATACTTATAAATGATTCCAAGTTCTAACCTAACTACTGACGCATACAGCAAAGTAAAAGCAAACAAAAAAAAAAAATTCAAACGAATATCATTAAAAAAAAAAATGTATTTCGATAGTAGTTGTGCGTAATTACTTAGAACTCTTCTTGTAATTGATTAGTTTCATATAGTACTATGTATTTAATTTGCATTTGCATTTGCATTAAATGTGAAAATTTAATACTTAGACCCCCATAAATGCACACTTTAATTTAACGCTACTCTAAAGAGAAAAATAAATCAATTTCAAAAGCTTCTTAGAAATGTATAAATAAATATTTATATAAATAGACTATATTTACTAAAATATTATTTTCATTACATTTACTCTTATACATATACATATATATATATATATGTATGTATTTATAATTAATTAGACATACTAATGGTGAACAAAAAAAAAAAAACATAATTAAACAAGATGAAGAAAACATAATAATAAAAGAAAAAACCAAAAGAATGCAAACCGAAATAAAACAAAATAAGAAAATAACAAAAAAATGCTTTCAACTGAATAAAAGTTCTTTGGAAATTATTATGCAACAAAATCTGGTTTTCATATACGATTAGAATACATACTGCGTTTCACTTTAACGGCTTTAACAGAACAATAATTGGGTGGCTCACTCGAAAAGTGGCACATTTTGGATACTTTCTCCACTGATCTAGAAGGTAACGGTTAACTAGCTCTGAAGTTGAAGATATGTGGTAAGTATCTAGGAGTATTTGCAGGCGGCTAACTATAATGCTGGAACTGAATAAATGAACAAGTATTCTTCGCCTTATACCCTTGAGTCTAAAGTATTTTTGCAAGGGAATTAAAAAAAAAATAAAATTTGGCTTTTTCAAATTTTGTCGTCATATATTTGAAATTTATAGTCGGATCTTAAAGTATGATATCTGTCTATGTATTTATATACCGATTTTTTTTTTGGTTCCAAACTTAAGTGTCCTCAAGTACCCCGTCCTAATACTCAGATCTTACCACCATAACGTACTAATGATTAAATTAAAATTCACTAGTAATCATTAAACTTTTGCTTTCGGTAATTTCAGAAAAACTATAAAAAATAATTTTTGTATTGCCGAATGTATTTCCGAAATATCTTTGCAAAAAGACTCAGGCGAAATTTTTTTTAGTTTACTTGAAAGGTGGTATGGTCTAATATTATTTTTTCGCACTACAAATATATCTATTATGCTAAACTACATACATACATACATATACATTTATACATTTTTTCCTATGTGAAAAAAAAAATCTCATCTTCTCATCACACGTTCCTTCGCATCAATCTTGGTGGCCAAGTCGCATAGTCTTGTTGCGACATTACACCCTCTGGTTAATTTGGTCCGTAGCGACTTTTATAGTATACATACTTGCATAAGGATTTGGTGCTTATATATAGTTGCTAAAAGTTTGGCTGAGCTTTCCCTTACAATTTACGATGTCCGTCTTGATGTTATCAACAAACGGAGGGATCTATAGTTTTTTAGCGCCTACGAACGGCAGCTAGATTTTGATGAAACGCTTTTTCACAGCATAATTTCACTTGAAGGGTTGACAAATATCTCTTTTGCAGTTTCTTCAGGAACGTACAAACCTGTGTACTCGCCAATACGAGTCATTTTCTGCAGGGGATGTAATCGTTACACACATTAAAAAGTAATGAACATTTTTTTTTTTTTAGTAAATCTATTTTTATTAAATGCATCAATTACGAAAATAGAATTATGTATCCAGTTACAGTTACTCCAATATGTATGTATGTGTATTAACTTTCGAGAAATTTTATTTCGAGACATTTAATTTTCACAATTATACACGCTTGCATTAAATTTAATTTACTTGAAGTATAGCTAAATATAATTTTGCAGCCTTACCGCTGTCAGTCTGTGTTTACAAAAAGCATAAAAAATGTACATAAGTGCATACATACGTACTTAATTGTATGTACGGTGGTCCACAAAATAATCGGAATGCGATATTTTGATCAGTTTTGACTTTTTCCCTTTTGTTCATTTAATGTTTATTATTTTATCATACAAGTCCAGCTGGGTATACTAACACCAAACACTGAATAAATTCAGATTTCAATCTTTGTACAAAATAATGAAAATTCTGCCAATTTTCACCAAAATTTCAAACTTGTTAATCAGAATCTTTAGGAAAAAATTTGGTAAGCAGTTTTGTTGCCCATTTAATTCTAGTCTAATGAAGTGCAAGTTTCAGGCTGCTAAAAAATCCCGTTGATTTTTGGCAAATTTTTTTTTTTGCTGGAACATACTTTGTACGGAAAAAACGTGAAACACCTTCCACCAAAAAAAAAATTCTCAAAAATTAACGAAATTTTTTACCAACTTGAAACTTGCACTTCTTTTTACTAGAATTAAATGAGCGACAAAACTACATACCAACATTTTTTCTAGAGATTCTGATTAAAAAGTTGGACATTTTGGTGAAAATTTGCAGATTTTTTATATTTTTGGTACAAACCTTGAAATGTAAATTTATATGGTGTTTGTTGTATAACCAGCTAGACTTTTATAAAAAAAAATAATAAACATTAAATAAATAATAGACAAATAGCCAAAACTAGTCCAAATATATGGCACTACTATTATTTTTGGGACAACTGTATGTACACATATGTATATATGCACACTTTTATATGCAAAACTTAAACTAAAATACGTTTCAAAATCGTAAATATCTTATTACATATGATACTCGTTAAACAAACTATTCTAGCAAATGCCGTACATTCGTTTTGTAAAAAAGGCGTTGACTCTTCAAAAGAAAGTGCACGCACTTAAATTAAATAAACTTCAATGTTTTAGAATACAAAACTCAATAACTACGTTTATATAGCTACGTTTGTATATAAAGAATATTTTTATAGTCTTCATGTGTTTGTATTTTATTCACACGTATTATTAACTAATTGTAAACTTGTGGCAACACCACCGACCGCTACTACTGTTTGGCAAATAAGTTCGCATTTTGTGTGATTATCCTCTCGATGCAATTCTTTACATTGTTTTTGTGTGGCTCTGGAATGCTTTCCAGCTTGGGCAGCATTTTGATCAGAAAGTGAAAATCAGTGGACAAATTGATGTTCTTATGAGGCACCAGCTCTACTTGAGCCATGGATGTGGTAGCTGGACCATTAGCTTGACTCGCATTACTCGCATAACTAATGTTTGTGTTGTTGTTGGTGTTGGTGTTGTGATTGATGATGTGTGGAGCGAAGCGTTTTATTACGGGTGCACTGTCATTGTTGCTGTGGTTGTTGTTGTTGCGCGCAGCCACATTGACCGGCGCCGACACAATGACCGGCGTAGCAGCAGATATCTGCTTAATTTGACATTGTGTGCCAATTTTATGTTGTTGTTTGTTGTGGTTGTTGTTGTTGTTGTTACTGTTGCTAAAGTTGCCCCAAATGCTGCCGGTGCCGCTATTAAAGTTGTCACTAAAAGGGTTAACAACAATGTTGCTGCCGTTCTGCGAAATGTTGTTGGTGCTGCTGCTGCTGTTTGTTGAAATAATTTTTGTGCGATTCTTTTTTGGTGGCAGTGTAATTGGTAGTCTTTCATTGGTTTCTTCAGTCGTCTTTTTTAAGTTATGTTGTGGTTGTGGTTGTGGTTGTGGTTGTGGTTGTGGTTGTACGGGTTCAGACTTAACGATATTTAAATTGGCAGTAATGCCGTTCAGTAGTTTCGATGTGGCCACCGGGGGCGGCGGCGGCGGCGGCGGCGTCACGTTCGCCACCATCGGCGCCGCAGACGTATCTTTGGCCTGTATACGATTCAATATCTCTGGCAATATCTTCTCAAACTTCTCCGTCAGCACGCCACTATCTGCTTTGTCAGCAAAGAGTGTCAACTTTTTTGAACCACCTGCTGCACCTACAATCAGACCGTTCTCTCTTTTTACATAATTTTGGGCATCATTAGCTAAATTACCACCTTCCTCAGTTCCGCCTGGACAGTCTTCTGGACAGCTATTCTCCTCCATGATTAGATACATTTTTCTCTTCTGCCCCGATGTTGCACCGCCACCCGCTGCCGTTGTGGACGTTTCCGCTCCTTTTGGTTCATCCGATTTTTCAGTGATCATAAATACTTTGCGATTACGTAACGTTGAAATGGCATTTGTATGTTTGCACAGCAAACTGTTCAGTGTACGTGGCGGCGCCTGAGAAGAAATATGTGAGGTGAGTAAAGATTTTGTCGTTGCTGCTGTTGTTGTTGTTGTTGTTGTTGTAGACATTTTTAGCGCTGTTTGTGGTGGAGGCGATTCGGTGTCGGAGTTTGCATCGCTGATCTGCGAAATGGATGAGGCGACTGATGAAATGGAATTTGTACGTTTCGGTGCTGTAACAATGATCGTCGATGAGCCGGCACCGCTGTGCACGGAATTGGCCAGAACTGCCGATTGACGGAAGCGTTTCTATGGTAAAAGAATAAAAACATTTGTCAATTAAAAAGTCTATAGAAAGTTTAAAAAAAATTTGAGCTAAATTAACAGTAATAACAATAGTCAAGCACATTTATAATCATCGGCCGTTGATTTACTACAAACAGCAAAACATGATATCAGATCACTACACTGAAAACAAAATTTCGTAAAAGTACTACGAAAAACCTTCGTTCGTGGCCTGATAGTTTTCGTTTGGTAAGATTAAAGCTCATTCTTATTTATTTTCTCTTCTTAAAGTAAATTTTTGTTCTTTAGATTGAGTCTGATTTCGTGTTCTTTTTCGGAACCAGAAATGAGGTCCGTGATAACTTTACTCCTTTTAGCAATTTGCTTTTGGATAACGTTTTTCCGAATCGCATCAAGGAATTCAAAGATTATGCTAAAATACGTTTGTACTACAAAATAAAGAAAAACAAAGTCAATCTCTCAGAAGGTAAGGGGTTAAAATTTTGTATTTTGGTATTTATTTTTGTATTTTATTTAGTTTTGTAAACTGAGTTCAAAATATAACCACATAACCAGGAACGAAATATTTTAACCTCACTTATTTTTGATTCTATTTACAAATATTTTGCTCAACATAGATTCCATTTGCGCCAATGCTCCTCCCTAAGCCAAGCTGTGTAATATGCAAAAAAAAAGTGAACTTACGAAGGCGTCCGTTTGTTCCATTCACCAGCGGTGCAGGTTAGACTAAATAAGTTGGATATTTTAAATATTTAATGGCAAAGTAATTTCTTGCACCACCAACTACTCCGAAAATTTATTATCCCACAGCCATGAAACAGATCTTCCAATAAATGTGAAAAAGCTATTTTTAAGTGCAATATAAATTATTTAAATAAGCGTTTGAAAGGCAAAAGGTAGCATCGATTAATCTTTATAAACTACCCATATCCTATTTAATTTTTTTTTCTTTAAATCTTATAACCATTAATATTACGTGTTGCGCTTTTATATTCACGTTGCTGATTTCATGTATCTAATATCATCTCTTCATAAAATTATCAAGATTTGTCTATGCATCGTCGGTGAGTCATTGGAAGTATTCTTTGTGCAAAATATTTTTTACTAATTTCACCATTTTTAAAAGTGTTTATGCCTCAAGAAATCGAGTTGTATGGCATTAACTGTCACTTTTAATTGGTTGCTGCATTGGCTACTTTTATTAAGATTTTTGTTTTTTTTTGTGAAAAATCTTTTCTACTAATTTCCCCATTTTAACATATTTTTCTGCCTAAAAATATCAGCATCAACGAAGCATGAACTTTGTTTCTGATGCGCTGATTGCTCTAGCGATGCGTTTTGGAACAGTATACATTGTCAATAATTTTTAGTTAGACGTTATGGAACCGTATACATTTTACGTATGCAAAGCAATTGACGTTTCGGAAGTCTTAGCCTTATTACCCCTTTTGTAGTGAAAAAGGGTAATTCTTTTTAATATTTCTGGCCTTTACCCTTCAAAAAAAAATCTAAGGGGCGAACATTTCCAATAAGGTAGTGTCAAATCTTGCTTCTCGCTCTTATTACTTCACCTGGTATTATTCCACCATGACTTAATAAACACATAAAACCGTAACGCAGCGTATGTATCACACCATATTGTTTCACAACATAACATATCAAAACATAGCACAACGTTTCACAGTCACTTTGTTTCAAAATTTATCACATACAATGACATATGTATATCACATCACTTGAATATATGTATCATATCAGGTAACATCTCATTGCATCTCGATGCGTAACATCATATAGCTAGCATCAGTTCATATTATTCATAACGAGGTCAGTTAATGTAAAAAACACAAAATTATTGAGGCATTGTACTAAGTAGACCAAAAATATGTAGTATATAAAATCCAACTTAAGCGCTTCTTCTGTTTTAGCTCATTTCAGTGTTGTTTATTTATTAAATTCTCCAATGAAATTCTCATCCCCCATCAATTCACCGTTTTTTTCTCTTACCTTGGCATCGTTCAGCGGTGCTGCAATATGACACGTCGTTGCTGTTGTAGTGTCGGATTTTGTTATGGCGGCAGCGGTTCTGGCAGTTGATGCCATCAAAGCATCCTTTTTCAAGCGCATCGGCGTTGTTTTTATTCGCGTTTTAGCCATTGTCTATGTTGCCGGTTATTATTCTTTATTACTCGTTTGTATATAAGACAGTTTAATTGTTTTTGAATTCCATACAAGTGCAATCTTTCGGTTGCCCATTAACGTCTTTTTTTCTTTTTCGACTGCTTAGGTTTTGTAGGGTTTTGTTTGCCTGCAGCAGCAGCAGCAACAGCAGACCACCAGCACCACCAACGAGCGACTGGTGCACCCCAGAGTGCGTTGACGTTCTTCGTCCTTTCCGTCTGCGATGCTACGCTTATTAGGCTTTTCCTCCTTTATTTTTGCTTCACAGTTCACCTTGAAGTTTATGCTACGCGTGCTGCGACGTCGTCTACTTGTTAGAGGCAGCTGCTAGTGTCCAAACAAACGGGTTGGAGGATAATGTTGCACAAACAAACAAAAAAAAAAACAAAAACATAAAATGAGAGTTTGAAATTATTTTAGAGTTCTGTGCGGTGAGACGGTTCTCTCAGTAAAGTCATTTACTGTTTGTGCATGTACATACATACATACATATGTATGTAAGTATGGCTTAACAAAAGCTTTCGGCTACGTACATTGACCGTTGGTTGCCATTGATTAAAAGAGCTTTCGCAATGGAGCTTTGGTACGTATACATTGGAAGATTCTTTATTGTCAATGTATAATAAAAATAATTGCAGCGATGCATGCAGTTGAAGCTTTGGAAGACGAAATATGCATTCGAAACGCCGTACCGCGCCCCTCGCCCCAAGCGACGCGACATATATACATTCGCAAGAACTTACATGCAATATACATATCGCACACGATCTTCAAAAGTGGCACAACTCAAAATTACACGCTAGTCAGAAAATGCGAAAAACTATTTCGTAGCACCTTAAGTTTTTCCAACAAATTATATCAAAAATTTGCTCCAGCTTTTGCTTGAAGCTAAATAAAAGCTATGTGTGCATTTTTAGTGCCTTATTTCAAAAATTCCAAATTTTGAGTTGTGTCACTTTTGAAAATCATGTGCGATATGTACAAACTTAATACATTTGCGCTGGCTTGGTTAGAAATTTCCAGTAACTGCAAAAAAAGCACTTCCAACTAAAGCGTGGAAAAACGGCAATGGCATGAAAGAGTTCTTTTTTTTTGTTGAATTTTTTTTAAATATTTAACTCTTTTTTTTTTTGGTGTTCTATAAATAATACACGCAAACGAGTTGCAGCCGGATGTGGGGTCGTTGGCGCTGCAATGTTTAGAGTCACAGTGGAGTGGCCGTTAACGCCAACACCACCAGCATTGCCACTAAATATGTATGTACATATTTACAACCGTCCATTGCCATTGCGTGCAATAACTTGCCGAACAAGTTTAAGGTCAATGCTAACTGCTAAACAATCAAACTCGACCAAATTCGCTAAAACTCAACACTAAAATTCACTGTGCAATCAAAGTCAGGCACTCGCACACTTCAAACCAAGCCAAGCCAACTGGCCAACTGACTCACCTAAATTTTCGCTTAAGTAGAATAGTTTTCAAATGCAACTTCACCAACTCCCATTGCTTGAGCAACACAACCAACACACACTGCTGACACCAAGTGTTCACAGCTTTTCTAATAAAAAACACAAAAAAAAAATACATAGTCTTTACTGTCCGCTCCACCCCTGCGGTGTAGTGCAAAATTGCAAATGCAGTGCCATGGTCCAATTGGCTATGCTTTTAATTACATACATATACATATTTCTTACATTTCTCCCAAAGTTCAATCAACAATCAACTGCACCATCATCGCCGTTAACATCATCATCAGTCCACACATTATAGCCAGTTGACAAAAAAAAAAAAAAAAAAAACCAAAACGAACAACAAAAAGATAGCACAAACCGATTACGTGTGGCATATTACCGCGATCGACCGATCGTGTCCGGAGTTCTTTGTTTACTGGATGTGCAATTTCTTCTGCTTTTCTGCTGCAGCTTTAAAATTAGAATCCCTTGCACTCTCTCTCTGCGTCACCACCACCAATCCCTTGGCTCTGCTTTCAAATGCGCTTTTCTGCACTTGCTCTATGCTTTTGGCCTGCCTTTTTGCAGCACATCCTCGAGCGCCGCTAACTACTCCGCTGTACTCTTTAGAATATACTAAACTTATATACTAAATTACATGGACACGCATACACCTCTAAATAAGTACTTTCGCATCCCTGCTAGCCCCTATGGCAAATTATTTGCTGTTTTGCTCAAACTTTTACGGTACATAGAGTAGTAGCGCTGAACGAAAGCGACTTGTCGAAAGTTCTTGCCCGCGAAAAGTTTCCTGTATAGCATACAAACGTATGTATGTATTTACAATTTACCTAAATGCCTATACGAGTATGTTCTCCACAACTTCATTAAAGTTCCTCACACTCGGCGGCCATCAATGCCTCCATTAATGGCCAAGCCACTTGCCGGTGGGTAAGAGAGAGTATCGTATGTGCCAAAGCATAAAAGCGCTTTCGT